CTCCTCTGGCTGTTGCCAACCCTTTGCTATTTGTCAGTATTTAAAACAACATTTCTGATTTCTGAATGACTAATATCTAAGGACTACAGTCAGCCCCTTATCATTTTGTATGTGTTCTCATTTACCCTAGGTTTATTAATAGCATCTTGAAGAGAATGCTGGCTGTTTCAAAAGGTATTAATAGTGAGTTATTCACTTCAATTGTGTAACAGCATTTTTTCTGATATGACCAATCCATACTTTCTTTAGATTTTCTTTTGCATTTAAATAGAAACAAGCAACAACAAAAATATTTATGTTGGAGCTCCTGGAACATACTGAGTGTTTACTAAGTACTTATTATTTTTTATTATTGGTTTAATTTTTGAGATCACTTCTGAAATAATTTTAGGAAAATTCAGTAAAGTAACAAGGGGTAGGAAGATATTATATAGTATCTTATACTTCCTCAGGATATTGTTCCCATGATATTCCAGTACTGCTTTTAAATTGTTGCTCTAAGATGTCTTTTATCTAAGGAGCAATAAGATGTTACAACTTGTCAGAGATACATGTTTTTTGGAGCACTACTCCATAGTGTATTCACATTTGCTCAGTAAATAGTGGGCTTCTTCTGTATGCCAGGAGCTACACTGGAAAGCCATTGAAAGAAACACTTCATGAGTAATTTGGTGTGGTGAGGTCTTCCTTTGGCAAGAGTGGCAGTAGAAGAAGGGATATGATGGAGAATCCTGAAGAGATTATGGCTTGCCATACAACAGATAAATGTGCAACACTTGTTAACATTCTAGGGCCATGAATTTTTATGCTTTCAACAAGTGGTAGTTATGGGACTCTATCATTAGAACATGTAGGTATAGTCAGCCTGCCTGTTTAATTCAGTAACAACTTTCAGAATAGAAACTGACAAGCATCACCAGGGTAGATCCTTTTCATCAGCGTTATAAACATTTCAGCATAAAACATTACCCAAACATTCACAAGATTCTTTGCAAACTCATGCTTTATTATTTTTATTACTTTTTACCCAGCTATATACTTCAGTTTGTTTTAATTAAATGTCTTCTCTGAAAACATCATTATAGTCAACATTAAAATTAAAACAATAATCTTTAATTTAAAAATGGGCAAAAGACATGATAGACTCTAAAGGTTGTCCATAAAAAATGTTCAACATTTTTAGCAATTGGAAAAGTGCAAATTAAAGCAATAGTGAGGAATCACCACACTGTAACAGAATGGCTAAAAACATGCCATTTATACCAAATGCTGGTAAGAATGCAGAGAAACTGGATCACAGTACTAATGGGAATATAAAATGGTATAATCACTCTGGGAAAGAGTATAGTTTATTATACCGAATATTAGTTTTTCAGTAAGTGTAAGTAAAGCACTTAAATGAGTTCTATAAGCTGCTTTAGCAAATGATTGACCTTAGTAACTTTTTCATTGCTAGGACAAAATACCCAACACCTAGAAGTTAAAGGAAGAAAGGTTTATTTTGGCTTCCAGTTTCTAGAGGTTTCAGTACATAGCTGGCCCCAAGGTATGGTGGCATGGCAAAGGGGCATCGCTGAGGAGAAAAAGTCCATGATAGCGCAGGCCAGAAGCAGCAGCCATGAGCCTCCCTTCCCCTTTTAATCCATTCAGGTAATGAGCCTATTGGTTGGTGCCACCTACACTTCAGCTTGGTCCTTCACATTATCCACACCAGAGCTATGCTAAACCACTCAGTGGACTAATTTAGTTATCACACACCCTTAATTCATATTCTCTCACCCTAAATCCAGCTACCTCAGAAAAGCCCCACCTATGAGCTTATGAGGCTTTGTGGGGAGATCTAGATGCATTCCATAACAGAACCCAAGGGGGTGGCGGTGAAAATCCCCAATTTATAGGCAGTCAGAAGTTCTGGAGGTTCAGACTTGGGATTGGCATTTAAAGTAGGAGGCAGTCTTGTGGGACTGAGCTCTTAACCTGTAATATCTGACCTAACTCCATGTAGATCATAATTGAATCAAACTAATTGGTATTAAAAAAATTTGCTGTTGGAGGTAAATCCTGTCCCACATGTGATCACAGAAGTGTTTTATGTGTGAGAATAGGAAAAAGTTTGGTTTTTCTTATCACGTAGAAACACAGTTGTCCTGAATTGGATAAATGCTGTAACAGTTGATACATCCATGCTGTGGAGTACTACTCGGCAGTAAAAAGAAGTTGCTGACATAACAACAGCATGGATGATCTCAAGGGAATTATTATGCAAAATGAAAAGAGCTAATATTAGTGGTTACATAGTATATAATTCCATTTCTAAAGCCTTCTTCCAGTGACAACACTTAGAGACAAGAAGCAGTTGTGGCTATCAAAAGTAGCACAAAGGATATTTGTGATAAAAACTGTTCTGTGTCTTGATTCTAGTGACGATTACACATGGGATAAGATATAGAATTAAGTATAAGTTAGAGACATTTATAGCCAAATGGATATTCGTTGAGACTATACTCTTAAGGGAAATAAATAGAACACACATACAAATACTGAATCATTTCTCTGGCATGAGAAACTGAAAGTGTAAATGAGGACCAAAATGTGAAATAAGAAAAGGGCCAAAGGGGAAGAGGAAGTATTGGGGAGGGGTTATAGGAAAGGAAAGAAGGGAAAAGAAAAATATGAGAAAAGAAAGAAAAACAGGAAACAAGGTGTTTTTATAAATATGGGTGGAAGGAAAGGGAATGGGAAAGAAACAACTACTAAGATACACCATGTACACGTACAAATTTCCAATGATACATGTGTTCTTAATGTATATCTAAAATATACCAATAAACTTAATGAATTTTTTAATAAGTGTAGGGGCTGGGCACTGGGGTGCATACTTGTAACCCCAGCACTCGGGAGGTAGAGGCAGGAGGATCACCACAAGTTTAAGGCTAGCCTGGGCTATATAGTGAGTTCAAGGCCAGCCTGAACTACGTAGTGAGACCCTGTCTCCAAAAAAAAAGAAAGAACTAAGTATATATACGTGCATGAGTAAGTACACGTAAAATTGGTAATATCTGGAAGAGGTCAGTGTACTTACTAGATTACTATTAATTTTCTGTGGTATACTATACTTATATGCAAATTGTTACCATTGGGAAAAGTTGAGTGAAGGATATGTGGTTTCTGTCTTACAGCAGAACCTATAGGTTTAAAAAAGAAAAGATAGTCATAGAGGCTTAGTAAAACATTAGCTTTTTGGTTCAGTAAAATTGTATGCATATTCTGAAAATCTGAAAAGAATATGTATTCTTTAATTGCTGATTATGTAGAAATTCATCTTCATTCAGTCCATTGATTTTGATTGTTCAAATCTTAGGTATCTGCCTTAGTTATTTTTCTCATTACTGAGATGAAATACCCAAAACCCACAAGTTAAAGGAGAAAATACTTATTTTGTCTCACAATTTGTAGGTTTCAGTCCATAGTTGGCTCACTCTAAGGCAGAGGGGCATCACATAACAGAGGAGAAACAGTTCATATCTTGGCAGGCAGAAGGAAGCAGCAACCTTCTTTTTCTCCCTTTATATTCCATCTACGCTACAAGCCTATTGATTAGTGGGGTCTTCCCGTCACCCACACCCAGAATAATGCTAAACCAATCAGTGGACCAATCCAGTTATCATGCCCTTAATTCCCCACTCGCACACCCTAGATCCAGCCACTTCCAAAAGCCGCACCTGTGGGTGCAAGAGGCATTGGGGAGAAATGCAGATATAAGCCATAACAGTATCCTTGTTAATTTTCGGTCTAGTTCTATCTGAAAATTTCTGTGATTGTAGCTATGTCATTTCTCATTATTTTGCCAATTTTTACTCTATATGTTTTTGGTGTCATTGTTAGAGATAACACATTTCAGAATTGTTATTATTTTTTGATGCTGTAAGTCATTTTATCAAAATGTGTTGGCTATTCCTAAATGCTTTTTACCTTGATCGTTTAAACTCATTTTATTTAGTGTGTTCATAGTATGTTTGTCTATGATTTAGAATCCTCAGAGGAGACATTTTTCTCCTTAGTTCAGAGCCCAAGCTTTCCCTGATAGGTTTCTTTGTTGCCTCTTGCTTGTATAAAGCATAGCTTTTCAAGTCCTGATCATTTACTGAAAGAATAGCTAATAAAGTAGCCTAATGTATGTAAATAGTCTCAATTCAAATCCCTTATGCATTTTTCTTGCTTCAGAGCCATTTTTAATTTGGAGTATAAAAAGTCTGATCTTTGAAACACCAAGATTTTTTATATTTCAGTGTACAAATTTGAAAACATTTATAATCATAATATTAATAAGTCATATTAAGATCTAATTTTTGCTATGTAAAGCTCATAGCTAAAACTAATTTGGACTTAGTTGAATTTTTTTAAAATATCACTATTTAAAAATTCTATATAAGGAAACAATAGTGATCTTGCTATCTAGGGAAAGGTATGGTATACTTCAAAATACACAATTTAATAAGGAAAAAGTTTGTTAATTATAACTAATATACTAATAAATAACATAGAAAATTATAACTAATATAATAACTTGGGTTTTTATATTAAGCATTATGTATATACATGTCTGAGTTCATGTTTTATAACCATGTAATAGAAAAATTATTATTTTCATTAGTTATTCCTCTGGGGTGATGAATGTTATAGTTATACAAAATTTTAATAAAACTGGAATACAACAAAAGTTTTCTTTGAAATTCTTTAGAAGTCAGAGTCAGTTTTCCCTTTCATAAACAGTCCTATAATTACGTCGAGTAAATTCAGTCCCTGAAACATTAAACAGCATGTCTTTTCATCAGAAGTCCTGGTTTTGTTCTTGGCATTTAGTTTCTGTTCCCAGAGTGATGAGTTATAAATGATGACATTTGTTTTTTGCTTATTCTCTTTACCTAAGGAAAAAATAAGTATATTTTAGCCAATGTCTAAAGTTTTTTGTCTAATAAAAGACAAAACGTTTCTTCTAGGTTACCTTCCGAACAAGAATCTATCACTGTAATATTAACAGCCAAGGCGTGATCTGTTTGGATATCCTAAAGGACAACTGGAGTCCAGCCCTAACCATCTCTAAAGTTCTTCTCTCCATCTGCTCACTTCTCACAGATTGCAACCCTGGTAAGAGACCTTAACTAGTATTAACGTGGGACTCTCTCCAAGATTTATATGTCAGATTTCAGAACTTGTTTACTGCTACTAACACCACCACTACTACTACTGTTGCTGATTTTAAGTTTCCGTAGTGTGTAATTCTTTTCTTTTTAAATTAGGTCTTTGCCGCCTGCCTCACAAGCACAAGGACCAGAGTTCAATCCCCAGTGCTAAAAAATAAATAAATAAATAAGGTCTTCTGGTTTGTTTTTGGTACTGGGGATCGAACTCGGGACCTTGCGCTTGCGAGGCAGCCGGCAGAACCAGTGAGCTAAATCCGCAGTCCTTCTGGTTTGTTTTTAAAAGACCTATTATTTGCCCAAAAAAAGGAAAAAATGTAATGATAAAAATTGATGAAAAATTATTTCAAATGAGAAAGTACATTTTAAGAATGCATTAAATTCTCCTGACAAATAATAATAAAAATTCCAATTGAATAGCTTAACCTTTAATTAGATGCCTACCAGAAGATGTTAATTTGAGAAATGTGGGCCATTAAAATCTGATAACAACCAGGTGGTGCCATATAGTTGTGACCTTTTGGCATTTTAATAACTGTGTATCCAGACAAGCCATTAGAATGGAAAAGCTGAACAGTCCTGAACTAGGAAATACAACTTCCCAAAAAACTAAAGAGATTATTTATGGCTAAGCCTCTGTGGCTTGCTGCCATGCTTAACACTGAAAAGTTCTTAGCCCTGTATACTCCTAAATGTGTGTTTCTGTGTCTTTTAACTAAAAAACCAACTGCCAGGTTTTTTTACATATTTGAATTTTTTAAAATACAAAATCTGAACATGGCAATAGAATTCTTACTGGTATTCTCCATGGGAACATTGTTCTTTGAGCACTTTATAGCCTTCACATTGCATGAAATTCCATCTTCCATGTTTAGAAATAAATTTTCTTCTTTTACATATCTGTTATTTCACAGTAATAAAAAGTATTTACAATGAAGAAATGTGAAAATAATTTTAAAATTGTAATGTATTTAAAATGTCTTAACATTAAAAAAAACATAATTCTGTAAGGTCATTGTAGTAATTTTTCAATTAAGTCATGCTTGACAATCAGATAATAAAGCCCACTAATGCTACACTAAGTTAGAATTGGTTTTGCCCTTTGTATGCCATCATTATTCCTATTCTGTCCAGCTTTTCTCTGTGACTGTGTATAACTTCACTTAAAGGTAATGTTGCAAGACAGATTTTTTCCCCCTTAGTGATTTGAGGCCTGTTACTTTGAATCAGTTGTATATGTGCGGTTTGATCTCAGTGCAGGTATCCATGCTTAAAGAAATGGATTCGTTCCTCCAATGCTTTCTCTCTGAAAAGATTACTATTCACTGAAGTAGTGAGGGGTTTTAGAGTCTTTGGAGCATTTTTTGGTTTTGGTGGTGATAGTGGTGGTGGTTTTTGCTTTATCTGAGAAAATTACAGATGCATTCTACAAAAAAAAATTAAAATTGTTCCTTACTAAAGCAAAATTACATAAATTAAAAATACAGAAATATATTTTGAAAATAATACTATTAATAGTAAAAATAAGCCTAAAAATAATGGCCCTTAAAACTATAAACCACTTATCTGGTATTAGAATAGGATAGTATATGTAAAATCATGGTAATGTTTATTTTATGGCACTTTAACACATATAAAAAGTTTTCCTAGTTGGCACCTAAATATGAATTTTGAGACTGTTGTGGGTTGTTTATCTTAAGTCATATCATTCTTTCTTTTATTTAATAGACTTTACTTCCCACTTCTCTGGTACACTTTGAACCTTTGCAGGTGTTTTTTCTCCTTAGATTGAAACTGCAGTTCAGTCTAACCTATTATCAAATTATCACAAGTATAAATTTAATGAATATTAATAAGTAAGGTTATCCTATACCAAATCTGTAGTTATTTTAACACCAGTTAAAATAGCTGCTTGCTATCAGCTCAGAAGTAGGCCTTATGTGATGATACATGTTTAACTTAAAAATGCCCTCATTCTTATCCCTACATAAACTAATTTTTAAATGTTTTTCATACTCCTCATACTTTACATTTATCTTTTTCAAGAATTTTTGATCCATAAATGCTATGTTATTTTAAGAAATAGCAACACATCCTAATTAGGATAGACTGACAGCAGATGACGAATGTAAAAACCAACTCCACTCTTTATTGGTTGTGTGAATTTAGATTAGTCACTCTACTTTTCTGTCCCTCAGTTTCATATATAAAATGAGAGTGATAACCAACCTTACCTAAATCACTGGGTTCCTATGAGTTTAAATTAAAGTGGCATAAGTGAAAGCCCTCTGTAAACAGTAGTATGTTGTTGTTGATATTCTTTCCCAGAACATTTAGGACACAAAATGGACATACAGTAGATGACTGATCAATATCTACTTGGTTGAATTTGAAATAAGATAGTATTGAAGAATCCCTAATATTACCACATCAGCATTGCCACGCTCCTGAATTCCACAGTCCAAGCCCAATCCTAAATTAGTGGTGCTAAATGGTGTTATCTCATGAGGTAGATCCTCTCAAGTGACAAACATCCAGTGAAGGTGCGTGATGTGTGTATGCTTTATCTTGAATTTTGTTTGCTTATTTTTTAATTGTTTGGAAAGGTGATTTTAAATTGCCATACTGTAACTAGACAAAGAAGCCTTTGATTTATATTGAGAGTTGCATTTGAAGAACTCAGGCTCTGTGTATATTCACAGCACTCATGCCCAAGGTATGATGTGTTACAGTAAAAAGAAAAAGGGTTTGAGTTGTCTTCTTTGATAATCTGTCTTTTGGGTTTTTCATTTTCTTGATTTTTTGTTTTATTTTTTTTTCTTCATTGAGTTTATTGATACATTTTAGGTATACCAGTGCAGTTACATTCATTATTGGGATCTTGTACCTTTACATGACAGGTCTTAGTTCTCATTTTTTTCCCCTTGTCCCTGCCCTCCCTTCACCCCCTCATTTTCTTGCTTTGAAAATGGAAATTGCATTGGGTTTTAGAGGGCTTTGGAGGTTTTAGGAGTTTTTATTTAATTTCTTCATCAAAATGACCCCTACTTGTTAATTATTTTAAATCATCTCCTTTATAAAGATCTTCACCTGACCCTCTTTGATTTGGAAATTCAAATTTGGATGGACTCAGCAAAGTGCATGTCAGTTTGTCTCATAATTTAGACATACTGACTTCAAGGTTTAGCTCTGGCTTTGACCTTCTTTGTTTTTGTGCGGTTTTGTTTTTGTTTTTGTGCGGTTTTGTTTTGTTTTATACAGGGGATTGAACTCAGGTCCTTGCACTTGCAAGGCAGGCCACCGAACTGCTGAGCTAAATCCAGGGCAGACCTACTTTGACTTAGGGTTTCTCTATGCCTACTTTACTGTCGTGTGATTAATATAAATCTAGACATTAGCTTTGTAACAATTTTTTCGTTACAAAGTCTTTTGTTCTCAGAGACCACACTAGTAAGCAAAATAAATCAGACCCATATGCTTAAATATCATATAATTTCTTCCCCCCAACACACACACACACACACACACACACTACTGGGGATGGAGCTCAGGACCTTGTGCTTGCAAGGCTGGTGCAGCCACTGAGCTAAATCCCGCGACCCACATGGTTCTCTTATATGAGAAGCCCAACATATAAATAAAGACCAAAACAAAAAAGAGATAGTAGAAAGCAGGGAGAGAAATCTTTTACAAATTGGAAAGGGACCAAGACATATAGGTAGAAGGAAGAGAGATGAAGGGAAGGGAACTTAAAAATAATTAAAATGTGTTGTAGACATGTACCAACTCCCACACTTCTGCCATGATGTTTCTACTTTGGAGCCACTAGAACATGGATTGAACCCTTTTAAAACATGAGTCAGCACCGGGGATTTAGTTCAGTGGTTCTGCCACCTGCCTCGCAGGCCCAAGGTCCTGAGTTTAATCCCTGTTAAAAAGAATTTTTTTTAAACTTTTTTTTAAAGCATGAGCCAAATTAAACTTTTTTTGAGTTGTGGGTATCAGATACATTGTGTCCAGCAACAGGAAACATGTACTAATAAAAGTTTTTAAAAGTAAAAATCTTGAAAATTTGTATCTGAACAGCAGAAAGATTTTTTGTAATTCTTTTTTGTTTGTTTTTTTGTTTGTTTGTTTGTTATTGGGGATTGAACTCAGGCCCTTGTGCTTCTAAGGTAGGCACTGGAGCTAAATCCCCTGCCCTCTTCATTATTTTTTAAATGACGATAACTAGATACTGTATTGGTCTTAATGTCTTTGTAAATAGGAAAGGGTGGAGGAGTTGAAGGGAGGCCAGGGGAATGGGGAAAAGTAAGAACCAAGATAAGTCATGTAAAGGTACAAGATCCCAATGATGAAAGTAACTGTTTTGTATACCTAAAATGTACCAATAAGCTTAATAAAAATAAAAAAATTAAAAATTAAAACTCAGATGATTGAATCTTCTCATTCTAGAATAAATGATAGGGAAAAGAATTATGCGAGAATTCTGTATTATAAGTCAGAGATCATTCCTTTTCCCTTAGTAACTTCACAGTTTTTTGGTTGATTTTTGTTTGTTTTGCTTTGGCTATCAGACGGCACAGCACTGTTCAATAACAGTAACTGCATTAACCCATATAATTTACATGTATGCTAATTATACCTGTTCTTTCCTATAATTTTACCTGTTTTTATTAACTTTAATTATTCTATTTCTAGTCATTTTATTGAACTATATATTTCATTTCAGATTGTTCAGCTCTACATGGCAAAATGAGATATATAAGTAAGATACTAAAGTTTTGTACTATGGTATGCTAAGGAGCACTCACTGTTTTGGTTTATATACAGCTTGTCTCAAGAGAGACATAACTTTATCTGGCTTTGCTAAGCAGTTTTTTTCCAACAAGACGTTTTTTTTCCTCTGTCTCTTGTCCAGCTCTTCTGTAGGTTCGTGGTCTCCAC